AGCGTCACTTTGTAGCCGTTGTGAAACAGCCTGCTAGTAACTTAAATGTTTTCTTAAAGAAACTTTTGCACACCTTTACACTCTCATAAGCAGGGATAGAAGCTGAAAAGAAAGCAGTCCTCTCTTCTTGCTCATAGTACACGGATGTGTTTAGGTGAATGTCCTTTTCAAAGTCCGAGCATTTATTTTGTTATCAGTACATCAAAGTTTTGAGACAAGTTCATTTTAAGAGTTTTATCTTCTGTTTTGTATTTTGAAAACGGCTCTGTATTGGTTAGAGGAACAACAGCTCTTCTTTGTGCTCCCCCTCGGTGGCGAAGTTTCTCACCTCATTATAATCTAAACATTTCAGTAGTAGTTTACGAATTTCATTGCGCTTCCGTCAATATAGACCGATTCAGCTTCCACATTCGGTGAAGAAATGAGCAGATTCATTTGTTAGTTTTTTTTGTTTTTTTTTTGCGCCGCCTTGTTCTGTACAGTGTTTAAAGATGCAGAAATGACAATTGCATGTAAAACCGATAGGTAAAGTGTGGCAAAACTGAATGCTTGTTTGATCACCTTTATTATCTTTGACATATTCTTCCGAATTTGAATAATTCATTGGCAATGTTTAACAACAAAAGTCTAAGACTACAAAGTATGCCACTCCACTTAGGGCGTCCTGTGAAATCACCCACTCTGATTTTGTGTTTGCCTCCACACACACGGGAACTGGTGGTTTGTGTGTGTGTGTGTGTGTGTGTGTGTGTGTGTGCTGTTCTTTGTCTATCTACCATGCAAAATTACCAGATTTATCTCAAGCACCTTCAGATGTCACACTGTCTGTGCTCGTGACAAAAGTGCCCCTTGTTGTGGCCGTCCAGATAAGCAAACAACAGCCGCCTAAAATGCACACTCCTCTCTGCTTTGTCCCTCAAAGCACAAAGACCTTCACTTTCTCTTGGCAAATGATGCCTTAATTGTGCAACTTAACAAGCCTGTTTTTTCCCAATGAATAAAGAGTTTCATGCAATTTTTTTTTCTTCTTGTGCTGTTATTTTTGTTTCTTTCATGCTGAGATCATACAGTTGCACGCTTGTTGGGTGGTTCCCATGCTGCTCTGTTGTTTAAGCCATGATGACTGAAAAACTTCACTCCCCAACGAAAGACAAAGAGACAGAAAGTTCAGGGCGTGACAGAGATGATGATCCCCAGTGGGGTGTTTTGTACAGTATTCATTATGCCGCTGTTTATTTTGGAAGTGTCTTTAACCCGTCTCCGCTCTCCCGCTTTTCAAACACTGCCCCTTTCACTGCCCTATTCATTTTTGGCTCACATATCTTTGCTCTAAAAGGTGGTAAGTGATGAATAGAACATCTCCATGGATTTGCATAATCTGATGGCATTGCTGGTAAGCACAAAGGGGGTCGTGCCAAGTGCAGAAAGGTGAAGCCATCATCCATTAGCAGGGGGTACAACCAACAGTAAAACAGCCTTCTTCAGGAAACTAACTTCAAATATTTGGGTTTGAATCCCTTTTGCGGTCTTCCGTGTTGAAAACCTCTAATTTCTGCTCTAACATGTAATAACATTAAATTAACCCTTTAGTTGAGACATTGCTCAGTGATTTGCTCCCAGACAATCAAAGGGCATTGATAAGTTTAGGTTTTTTTTCCCCTCCTGAACAGACTCCATTCATGTCCTCTTACAGTGGCCGTCATTCTTCAGACATGGCTGGTGCCAAGGCAGTAGGATGGCTGCCTCGCTCCGATGGGAAACTGTTGCTCATGTGCTGGGTTGGCTGCCAAGTTTTGGCATTATTGGTGCGGGAAGAGGTGGGAGGGCGTAAGGGGGGAGGGGGTTATACAGAAAGGGGGCCCTTTAAACCCTGTGAGATAGTACTATCTGCTGTGGGAATGATCTTCATCCCTTCTCCCCCTGCTCTCAGACCCTCTCTCTCTCTTTTTTTTTTTTTTTACACTGACTGTTTCTGTTACTGTGTGCCTCCCCAGGGCCCCCAGCTTTACCCTCCGTCCCCCTGTCTTTTCATGCTGTAGATCAGACAACCATCCTGAGGTGAGCTGGCTCTGCATCTTGTGCCACTGGGGCACTCTGATTACCAGCCAGTGCTGACTGTTGGCTCTCTCACAGCTTGTGTTACGTCTTTGGCCTCGCTCCCAACGAGAGACTGTAACCCGCAGCAGTGGGGCGTTTGCTGTTGAGAAGCTTAGGAAAGTCTGAATTCAGGGCTTGCGCAGATGCAAAAAGATCAAACAGCAGATTTTAGACACTTGCAGTTCAAACCCCACCATCCAGGGTACAAAGAGATGTTTTTTTTTTTTACTTCTTATGACATCTCAAAATGACCAGATTCAAGAGGAAAACACACATCTGCTTGTCTGTCTTGAAGATTTACATTACAAATTATTTTTCATTCAGTCTAGTTTTCTTGTAGGAATTTAGGCATTATTCAAAACACAAAAGTGAAAGTAGAACCAAATGACATATTTACTTCATGGAATCATTGGAAATATTCTTGTTGTCATTACAGGCATCAAACCCTTCTCATTTTTGTTAAATGGCTTCTTTTTGCATGTTTCCACTCATAGTTTAGATGATTTATCTTTGGTGATGAGCTCCAGGTCTTTGGAAGGGGTTCATGCTGTCACCCTAACCTTTAGCTCTCTGCACAGATTCAGTATTGGGTTCACGTTGGGACTCATATTGGTTGAACAGCTCAGCCTGAGTCCAATTCAGTCCACAGAAACATGTTGGTTTAATCAACATAATTACTTTAGACCTAAACCTGCTAGGTTTTTGAAAAATGTTGCACTCCCCAATGAAGCTGTATCAAGCAATTTACTTTACTTGAACTCGAGAAATGAAAATTATTTAATTTTCTCATGAATATATACTGTATTACAGTCCAATGTTTTGTTCTTAGGCATTCTTGGCCGTTTTTACTGTGTTTTGGGTAATTATCCAGTTGGAAGACTGATGAGACTGAGAAAGTAACAGGTAAGTTACAGTGCAATATCTGAAAAGTTCATGGTAAAAATCTAACAAGTTCCAAGGCTTTGGATCAATTATCTACTACGTTCTGAGACATGGATCCTCTTTATCACATTTTCTGAAGTTTAAGGGAGCTAAATTTAGCGAAATTCAAAATGATATGATTAAAACACAATGTGAATCAATTTTTAAATTATTTGTCACTAAAATTCAAGATTGTGCATAAGGTAAAACAAAGAAAAATAAATCCCTCAGATCTCTCAATGTCCCAACTGTTTTTCTCGTTTTTTGTTGGCTGTAACAATAAAATCTTGTCTTGCTTCATTCAGTAAGTTTTCTCTTAAACTTGTCTGACTTCAATACCATCAGAGTTCATGTAGGAGATGTAGGTTTTTTCTTGTCATTCGCTGAGCTGATAAATATATTCCAAAAGATATTGTTGTTGATGTTCACCATTTGAGTTTAATGTGGAAGATAAACAGCCAAAGCTTTACCACTGTGCTCATTTTACATGACAATAATGGCCCTGACTCCGTTTTTACTCCTGCTTATGTTATTATTATTCATGTGATGTGCTTCTGCTAGATTTCTCTCATGTGGCTGAACATGAGCCCCTTTCCTTATGTTTGGAGTCCAGATTTAAACCAATATTGTGTCTGTCGGGATCCTAGTATTCCCTCAAAGACTCGTTTTTTTTCCTCTCTCTCTTATCTCATTGTCACTTTTCCATCTGCGTTCACACTATCTTCCATGTCTTTCATTTGCTCTCTTGTTGCTCGTCTTTGTAGGTCAGAGACTGGTTAATGTGGGTTTTTCCAGCCACCCAGCCGATTAATGCGGCCTTATGCATCCTCCCTTACTCCTTCCTTTTCTACATCTAACAATTCACATAAACCAACATTCATGTGAGGACACCTGCAAATCTTTTTCATTTTTAAGCCTGAAACAGGAACAGTGAGAGGTCTGTGTGCTGGTTTTAACTTTGTCTCTGAAGGAAGGAGCATGGAAACTGTTTTCTGAAAAACTTTGATTTCATGGTCTTGATTATTGTTCTTCATAATCATTCAAGGATGAAGCTCGGGGACTTTGAGATTGTCCTCCATTCAGGTGCACCACAATGGGGCTCCTTGGTTTAGAAAACAAGATGGTGTGTCCCCTACTTCTTCGTTTCTCCCTTTCCTTTCCTCTTAAATAAATTAAAACTTGACCTATGAGTAAAGAAAGGAAGAAAGAAAGAAGCCTGAATGCTATTTATTAAGAGACTCTATTACGTATTGAAGCTACCAGTGCGTCAAAGACAAATTTCTTCTAATCTGAGTCGGGGGTTTTTTAAATTCAGCTTATGGGGCATAGTGACTGGTTTTAGTAGGACCAAGTCAAGAGAAGAATAGTGCTGTGCTCTTTTCAACTCAGATCACGCCTCAAATAATTCATTCAGTGCTTTTTCTCTAGCTTTTGTCTTTGACTGAACAATCGACCAATCTTTATACCTAAAACAGTACCGTTGACCATGTGCATTACAAAAATATTCCCTCTGAAATATTTCATGTTAGGTCACTTTACCGCAAAAAAGAAACCGCAACATATTTCCAAAGGTTTAAATTGATAAGCTGTCTCAAAGTTGTGTTTAATTGCAAAGATGAAGGAAAGAAAACTTGTTTTACAAATAAAAACTAAAAATTGTGGCTTGTGGATCTGTATTTAATCACAATACTCTCATGGTCCTTATGAGAAATACTCCGATAACCTTACATGAAATATGTTGCTTCCATGTTACCTTTAGAAACCATCAAATACATTAACAGAGTTCACTTGTGAGTATGAACGAGGCTATTCTTTGAAGACTTCAAAGTTTTATTGTAAAATAATGTGGATGAACGAACAGCGTGATGAAGATCAAGGTATTCCTCGGAAGGCAGATCAGGGATAAAGTTGTGGGAAGGATTATGATTATATCACAGCATGAATGGAGAATGATAATTTAAAAAAAAAGCATGTCTATATGTGCAAGGAGCCACATGACACTTTTCACATTTGTATTAGTATTAATTAAAAAAATGTCTTGATTTCTTTCCACTTCTCAATCTCTACTTTATGATGATCATCTACAATCTCAGCAAATCATATTAAGTAGTTCAATGGCTTTCAGAGTTTTGTTGCAGAAAATGTTACTGGGGCACAGAAGACCCGTCCTGAGGTACCTGATCCTGCGAACAAAACATTAATCTCTATCCAACTCTCCCATGCAGGTGCAAGACATTTGGGGCAGGATTAGCTGAAAGTTGTTAATGAAATTCTGCCTCGGGGCTCATACAAGTTGAATCCTCTTTATACAGTACCTTCGGCTCAGACGCAGGCACTTTTTGCTGCCCTTTACTGTTATTACACTGTAAAAACCGCGCAGTCAGACTAAATAATTGCCTAACTTGGAAAGAGGGCAGATGCTCTAACTCAGCCTGAAAATCAAAAGAATCTACTTAACCTTTAGTTCTGGTAATAAGCGGGTCAAAGCGCTGGTTCAGTGATAACAATTTGTAGGTTTGCAGACTTGATCTCACCTCTTTGCAATATAGGCTAAATGAAATATTATGAGGATTTTTCGCACGTAGAATCCAACCTCTAACACATAAAATAACAGACACAGATTTTAGGGAGAAATAGTGTATTTATTCATATTGTATTTACATGATCTAAAAAAAAACATAAGTTAAAATAGAGCTAATTTGTTTTACATGGCGTGCTGAGCGCTATGCAAACTGAACGTGTTTGCGTGCGTGTGACCTATAAAGTTGAAGTAATGGTGATCGAGTCCCTGCACCGGCGACAAGTATCCTCCGTGCTGCTGCGTGTGCGCAGAGAGCGGCACCGCAGGATAGGAAATGCCCTGACTGCGTCCGGAGCCGTGCCATGAGAAGTGTCCTGTTGGGCTCTGCTGGTACACTGAGTCCGAGGGGCTATGGCTCTGGTGCTCCGGGGAGGAGTGCAGGTGGCCAAGATAGTCGGGTGGGTCGGACATCGAGCCCACGGAGCCGAATACGGGCTCGGTGACCGCGCGAGACTTGGACTGTAAAAAGGCGAGGATCCGCGCGTACTTGATGTCCTTGGTCTCGGCTCTGTCCTCCGTGGTCAGGTAGTGCACCAGGTTCTTCATACACTCGTGGTATCCATAGTGGAAGTAGTTTGCGAATTCAGCCAGCAGCTCTCCTGGAGTAAAACAAAAAGTGTGTGTGTGTGTGGGGGGGGATAACCTTTAACATCCTGACAGATCTGCGTAAAGCTGAGCATAAGATGCTCTGGTGCTGCTGGATAAGAGCGATGCAAGAGGTTCACCCACCTTTTTCTCTGCCACGGGGAAAATCCGCGGAGTGCAGAGCTCGCAGGTACTGAACAGTCATCTCCAAGATTTCAGCTTTTTCCAGTTTTCCAGAGTTCTACAAGAAATACATATTAAGATTTGTAAAATAAATCTAATTTTAAATTTTGTCTCCCTCCAACTTTTCTCTTTACAAATTTCAAGAAATAAAATATTAACTAATCCTACGTTCATAAAATACCTGCTTAGCCAGCGCCATTGGTACGGTTTTTCCCAGTTCGTTTAGGCAACGGTTAATGCGGTCCCGCCTTCTTTTCTCAATAACTTTGTGGGAAATTGGAGTTCTCTGTAAAAAAAAAAAAAAAAAAAAAGAAATAAATTTAAAAATACAGAAAAACAAAATTAGCATACACTCGAAACATTTAAAATAATCAGTAGAATAAACTCTACCATAAAAAAATAAGGTTGAAAACTTTTAAAGTATAATCCGGGCCGTGCGCTTTGGCGCGCAGAAGCGGGCACTTCACAGAAAAATCATCTTATCATATTGAGTATGTTAGGAATATATCACGTACACACATCCATTTGGAAGGCAGTTTTTAATATAGATAGTTGAAACGTTTAAAATATTGTATCTACACAATTAGTGCGCCAAAGTTTACCCAGAACGCTCGCACCAAGTTGGTTCACCTCATAACTTTGATGGAGATAATATCGCCTCAAACAGCGACTCTACTTCATATACAGCGCATGTTTTCTTTTTTTCTTAGGATAAAACATCCAGATCACGAGTCACAAATAGTTCAAGTATCATGTTAGTCCCCAAAATGTGGAGCGCACAAGAAGCGCGTACCTTCCTGTCCTTCATCTTTGATGCCATGGACGAATATCAGAGGAAAAGTCCAAAAAATGAGTTCAGCGTTAAATTAGAGAGGTGTGAAAGTCTGCTGGCAGATGAAACAGACTGAATTTTCAGGGGAAGCCGTCCCCTTATAAAGGGACCATCCTGGGGGACTCCGGCATTCACGGCGTAAATTATTCCATGGGATTAAAGAGCTATGCGTTCGGGTAAATGTGTGCGTTTAGGATCAGTTAAAGAAATAGAATTAAAAAAAAATCTGAAACAGGCAGGGGGGTTAACCTGTTTTGTTAACCCACGTGGCTCTTCAAAGGACACGTGATTATGTTTGGAATATTATTTGCATAGCAACAACCCAGGCGGGAAATAAGAACCGGGATCGGCCTGATCCGGTGGGGCGCACTGTGCGCACTCAAAACAAAGCGGCGAGCAAAAGAAAAAGAGGGGAGGGGAAAAAAAATAAAAAAACTTTCTGTTCCAACTCGCGTTTCTCACACGATCGCCTGTTTACAAATCCCAGCAAGCGATCTTAACTCCCATCCAAGCCCCGGTCAGAGTTTTAAGGCCTGTCCAGTACCATTAGAGTAATTAAGTAAGCCTTTAATAGGCTGTTCCGCCGAGTTCAGGGGAGATCTTTTGGAGACGGAGTCCCCCCCGTTTGTTCCCGCCGGTTCTCACACGACTTGCTGACACGTCCATCTTTTATGAGAGATGGCAAGCTTTTTGTTTACGCCTCTTTATTTTTCGCAGGACTCCTCGGCAGGTGTGTGATTAGCGCTGGCACACGAGCGTCGTCTGCGTCGAGGCCCGGCGTCTCCAGCAGCCTCTGGCACACGAGGGTTACCCACCACTGGAGACTCTTTGGAGAGGCTCAATTTGTATCCTATTATCCTATAAGAAAATGTCTATTCAGAGGAATGAATAGTTTCATTGGCCTAAATTTTAATAATGCAGTGAAAGAAAGGGAGAAATAAAGAAGAATGCAGCTGGTGCGAGCGCGTATTATTCCCCGTCACCTGCGAAATGCGTAGCCTGGAGACCCCTATTCATTTGCCTAATTTCGGTCAACTTAACAAACTTTGGGAGAAATTATACTGCCATTGTTGCGAAGGGTGAAGCTTTCTGATCGAATTAACAGCACGTTTTGATCCGGTAAATGTCATTAGAAAGAAAGAAACAATCGCGTTTAGAGGGGCCTGAGTAATGCGCCAAGTGGAGACGCCAGAGCGCAAAAACAGCACAAAGGCTGCTGGTAAATGCCACAGGGGGACTTTTGTACCCTCACATTGCTCAAGTTTTTTCCACCCCCAAACAAAGGGCATTATTTTATACTTGAATACATTTCATACAACAATTGGCTGTTTCTTCTTCTTCAAACATATTTTCACAGGAATTTCCACAACAGGTTTATTGTGTGCGCACAGATTCAACCGCTCTCATGCGCAACAACAGTTTTTCTACTTATTCTCTTTGTGTGTGTGTGTGTCTGAGAGCGTTTTAATCTGGAAACTTTCGACATGCTAGATGTATATTTGATCCTGTTGGCGAATTAGGGGGAAAGCAAAAGCTCACAAGACATCTGAGGCTTTTGGAAAGTTTTGGGAGCACCATGGAGAGAGGCTGTCGCGAGAGAGAGGGACGGGGGCAGAAAATCCAATTACTCCAGTGTGGAGTTTTTAACACTTGTCTTATGTGTTTGTGCTTTATGATGCAAAGATACTTGTGGGTTGTTGGTTTTGTTAAGGACTAAATTAAACACTGAATGTTTTAAGCGTCGGACTTGGTTACACTGCGTGTTGCGTCACGGAGGAGCTAAACCGGGCTTGGATTTTTTTTTTTTTCTCCCGTGCTATTCCCACTGTAATGTGATATTTCCATGTTTTTGTTCTAGCTAAACATCTAATGAAAATCTGATTAGATGAATGCAGCATAATATTTTCCTTATTCATTATTTAATATTAGACTTTAGTTGCGTCTTTCTCTGTTTGTTTTGGGGGGTTTCAGCTGACTCATAAAGTGTAGTGGATGGCGACTGCGTTTTATCAATGTTTTAACTTCAGAAAACAAATATTCCTCTTTGACTAAGTTAGTCTCCACATATAGCTCTGCGCAGGCGACGGAGAAATAGTTTTGCGCATTCGGGATGAGCGTCTAAACTGGAAATTCATCCTTTTCAGTGAAAAACACTAAAACGATTTTTCTTTCATACTAAGCAAACAAAAATACATCTGCAGGGCCTGTTTTTTTAATCATTATCATCGTTATTATTGTTCTTAATATTGTTGTATTTTAAAGTATTTGCTCTCCGTTTTATGATAGTGACACTGAGTATATCGAATAATCAATCTGCTGTTTTTGACTGCAGCTTATCCCAGGAGCAAAGACCAATCTTAACGCTAAAGTTAAACCACAGGAACCTGACTCCATTAGGTTTAAAGAGAACTTGAGAGCAAAAGTGTAAAGTTTTGCTCTCAAGTCTCAAACACAGACTTGTATTAAAGAAGGAATTTGATGTATGTGATGCACATTTGTACCCATGTATAGAAAGTTAAGAGAAAAAATATCACCATCATATGCATTAAAATGTGATTAATGCTTTTACAACTAAAGAACTGGAATTTATTTGTTTGCTTGATCTTCGCATTAGAAGATATGTCAAGCTAATGAACTTTTGGTGTTTCTGTAATTGCCAAAAACTTCCTGCTATTTTTTTTTTTTTTACTTCATTCATTATCTCAGTTTATGATCTGCAAACATTCAAACGCGGAATCACAAACAAGCCTCCAGTCCTGCAGCCTTTCAGCGCAGCAGCGGCGCTCGCTGCTGTGGCCCCTTGTGTTGTCAGGCGCTGCGCTCTGACCCGTGGTGACCACCGCTGAGGGCCTCAACGCAATCCTTTGGTCTGGTGCGCCACCCTCCGCCTGAACCGCGACAGTTCACACGGTCCCCACTGAGTCTGTTCAAACCTCTGAAAAAGACTTGCCCCTGAAAACAACGTTCAGATCTGAGACTCCGGAGAAGCATGTGCTAGGTGTTTTATCAAAAAGCGCGGAACAAAGTTAATGTCATTCTTGTAACGGGGTGATTGCAACTTCAGCTGGATTAAAATAAATAAATAAATAAATAACTATTTAGCTGTTCAAAAATAGGCAAGCAACTGCTCTGTTCAAGATTTTCCACAATTCATAATTTTCAACATTCCTCTTCTTAATATTAATTATTAATTTTTAAAGATCACCCGTAAACAGAGCTGCTCAGTTTATTTATTTATTTTTTTTTTTAGGAACTAGGGCTCCCTCTTGTGGTGTTTTGGGAACTGCAAAGGCTGTGGCGTTTGGTCAGAGAAAATGAATCGTTAGTTTATTATGTGAAAACTTAATAAGCTTTTTTAAAACTACTTTTATTATGGAGGAAACCAGCCCCAGCAGGGTTGAGTGAGAGGACAGCATTGTTTTGTTTTCTCTCTCTCTCACCCATCCCTGGTGTTTCTATCTCAAGTTTGGGTCTATCAGAGGCAGGAGTTTGAGGATTCACCTAAACTGAGTCAACTCTTTCTCCAGAGATCTGTTGGAGCCACTTCACTGCCTTGAGTGCATCTCAATGTACAGTGCATCTGGAAAAAAAGAAGAAGTAATTTTATGTTTTCATTGCAAATAGAAAATCAAGAAGTCAGATGAACATAATTATTGCCACTAACCACTAACTGAGCAGACTTCACCCACTCTTCCTTGCAGAACCTCTCAGCTCCTTTGGGTGGGAGATGTCTGTGCAGCAGTTTCCAGTTCTCTCCAGAGATGTTCCATCAAATCCAAGTCTGGACTCTGGCTTGCTCCCATCAGGACGTTCACAGAAGAAAGAAGAAAGAAGCATCACCCCATTCTGAAGTCAAGAGTATTCTGGATCAGGTTCTCACCCAGGATGTATAAAAACATCCAGATAGCATGAAGCTGCCACCACCATGCTTCGTATTGGCCTGGTGGTGAGCTTCATATCAAAGAGTTTGATCTTTGTCTCGTCAAATCAGGGAATCTTGTTGCTGATGATCTGAGAGTCCTTCAGGCACATTTTGGCAAACTACAGACTTCCTGCCATGTGACTTTGATTAAGGACAGACTTTCGTCTGGCCACTCCACCATGCAGGAATGTTTGGTGGATTGTTGCAGAGCTGGTTGTCCTTGTGGACGGTTCTCCTCTCTCCTCTCTGGGACAGTCAAGCGTCTGTCTGGTGCACAGACACAAACATACTAATGCTCACTACTTCATATTTTTGACATTTCCCATCATCAGTATGGAGCTTTGTCCTCAATTGGTTCAACACATAGCTGACTGAAAGCCTGCAGTGGAACTAAAATCTGTTTTAGTGAGACAGTAGAGCCATTCTGACTTTAGCAGATATAATTATACGTGCCACTTATTTTGGAAATGTGTGCAGCCATCGCTATCACGACCCTTTGGCCAATGGGTGAACGCCTCTCAGTATTTTGGTAAAGCAACATGTGACTCCGCCTGTTATTGGCTGAGAGCAGCAGCAGTAGGGAAACTAAAACACAGGCTTCCCCCGCTGCCGTTCCCGCTGCTGTTGCTGCTTCTTGAAGAATCGCAATAAAGTCTGCAGCTGCTCACAGGTTAGTTCATTGGGCTTTTTAAAAAAAAAAAAAAAAACCCACACACACAGACATATTACAGCCTGTGGCTGAGATATGAGATCAAGATGGCGATTTTGCGCCTCATAAAGCAGGATGCGAGCATTTAAAACGTTGATGTTATTGTTGTCTTCATTAGAAGCGAGCCACGTTTTGTTTCCTTTTTTGACTCATCTTCATTTCGGTTTTCTTCACATTACCACCGTGTTCAGCTGATTAAAACACAAAACGCGTTAGTTTCTGTTACATGCGTGAAGAGGAACCTGAGTGCGCATAAAGGAGGGTTTTGAAATGAAAATAGATATGGATGGACACGTACCATCATGGGTGATTTGGTACACAGTGTGCAATGATCCACTCTGACTGCAAACTTTGCTGGGTTTTTCTTTTTTCTCTGTGGACCTGTTTCCCTGCAGCTTTGTTGCATAAATGCCGTCCATCTCTTTGCTGTTAGTTTATTACTTGATTAGTTGGGAGTGTGTCAGAGGAACAGTGAAACCTTTATCTTTCAATTCATGTTCTGGCATCCCGCCACTTCGATCATCACAGCGTGTGTGTGTGTGTGTGTGTGTGTGTGAGAGCAGTTAAACATGACGTCCTCACATGAGGAAGTAAGTTTGGTGTTAACAGCAGGCCTGTGGCTGCACCACAGTTCTTTTTAACCTGTTTTATATCAGACATAGATGCCAAAAAAAAAAAGCTTTATATGCAAATCTCTCTTT